GGGATAGTTGTGGCAGAATGTGGGTTGTAGTTTTATGGTTATGGTGTAAGAATGTATGATGCGATGGATTCAACGTTGCTGGCATCATGGGCTGTTGGTACGACTTTGGGAGCTATTCTGTTGTGGGTGAGGGTTGTTTGAAATCAAACGAACTCGTGAATTTTGGCCTTGAGTTTTCTTGTCCATGTTTTTTTCCGCATTTTTTTGAACCGTTTCACAGCGTGTTGGAAGTGGTCAAAAACTAAAATTACTTTAAGATGAATAAAAATCAACGTGAACCAATTTTATGATTCTGTCTGTGCGTCTGAGTCACTCTTTTCTTAGCCCGCTTTCATAAAATAAACGTACAACTCAGGGCAATCCACTTGATGTTTACCTGCTAAAAGCCATAACTTAAGCTAATGAAGCAAGTATTTCTGCGTCCACTGTGAAGTTTTGTCTTTGTATATAGCGCTTGATACGTGAATAGATGAAAAGTTTTACAAATATAACCCATGTGGAATGTGATCGGAAATCTACCCTCCCTCAGTCAAAAGAAAGGTCAGAAGTAGGAGTGTGAAGGTGTACTCCGTTTTCGGAGCAGTCCTTTTATAGTGACACTCAAAGCGGTTCATCCCCTTTTATTTTGACTTTTTCTGCTCGACCGAGGTAATTGAAAAGAATTTGATAAGTAGTCTGAGTAGGTGAAACACTTAACTTATCAGAAGAAATCTGTTTAAAAATTCAGCCAAAATTGTTGAAAACCTGTATCTCTGAAAAAGCCAAAACGTTAGAAACCAAGTGCGATGAATTGATCTGAAATTTCCTTAAGTATTCGGTATATCACTAACAACGAATATTCTGGTGGGTGAAAAAAGCACACTTAAACAAGAAACTGACAAACCTGTCACAAAGAGAATTTCACGCACGTGACGTATAAGAATCACGGATAATAAGCAGTACCATTGTATTGTTTTCTTCTTGATATATATATAGAAAATGGTGGAAACCTCAGAAGATACTTGGATTTTAAAACCTGAAAACTTTAGACCTCGGAAACACGGCATTAGAAACGAAAAGAAAAAGTTAGATATCTTAGATAAACACTGAGATATTTATGGCAATTTCAGTTCGACTGAACAAAGTTTTGATGTAATCATGACGCATATAGGTTCAACCGCTACTGGCGGAACTATCCTTTTTTGATATTACGAAAGAAAGTAAGATAATGTTTTCAGCATGGAGCCTTATTGTTGGAACAACAGACGTTCTTTGTAACGAATTTCAGTTCAGCGAAAAAGCAAAAGACGCAGCACACTGCCGGGTGCAGCACAGTCTAGAGAAATTCATTGTCCACTGCGATACTTTGACGGCCCAGTCAAAAAAAACATAAAGAGGAGTATGATGGCGTGACCTCTAGTCCTATGAGAATTGATAAAGAAGTTCCGCAAGGTTCGATACTAGGTCCACTACTTTTTTTATTGTACATTGATGATTTACCATTAAAAATTGAAAGCATCATTAAATTGTATGTTGATGATGCTCTTCTTGTTTGTCACCATAAAGATCCACTTGTCGCTACTGAGATCTTGAATAAAGATCTTGAACGTGTATATAGCTGGTCAGTAAGATGGTGTGTCCCTCTTAATTTGAAGAAGTGTGAAAGCATTACATTTTCCTCTCGTCGAAATCGTACTCGTGCTCTAGCACTAACACCATTGGTGCTCAACTCTGTTCCACTGAAAGAATATGAGGAAGTAAAATATTTGAGTTTGTGGTTGACATTTGATCTTTACACGTTAATAAAATTTGTGCTCGTGCGAACTCAGTTGTTGCCCTGATGTCTTATAATAAATGGCTATTATGCAGAAATGCTCTTGAGCTTATATATAATTCCTTCGTGTTATCACTATTTAATTATGGTTCGATTATATACTCATTGACTACTGATACTAATCTGAAGAAAATCGAATCTGTCCAGTACTATTGCAGCGTTAGTTGTATTGAGAGTTATGAAGGGTACATCATTAGAGCGTGTGTTATCGATACTAGGATGGATTAAATTGACGGATAACTTCTACATCTGTCGGCTTTTCTTTTTCTGTAAAATATTACGTGGGCAAATATCTGATTATTTGAAAGTTCATCTTCGTTACCATCAACCGAATACACGATATAATCTTCGAAGCAATAACTCTCAACAAATTGAATCCACTGAAGAAAGACAAAAATCCTTCTTCAATATTGTGTCTATTGATTGGAATAATCTATCTCCTCAACAGCAGCTACTGAAGCCAGCGAAACTCAAAGAGCACCTGAAAAACACAATCATCGAGCAAAGATCACTCAGAAAGTTTCCAAAAAATTTGTCGTTTCAGAATCGAAGAGCGGAGATTCTGTTTATGCGGTTGAAGCCAAATAATCCCCAACTTAATCATAATCTATTTAAACGGCATTGTATTGATTCATCGGCATGTATTTGTGCTGACGGGGATGAAACGATGAGTCATTATTTTCTTGAATGTTCTCTGTTCAGTCCATGCAGGAAAGATCTCGAACTAGCACTCAGTCGTATCGAACTCTTGCTATCTGTTGACATTTTATTACTCAATGATTGTACTATTGACAAAGATGCTATGACTGTTGTGCTTCGTGCTGTGAATGAATACATGGAAAAAACGCGAAGGTTTACGTGAATGTTTTATCTCTTGTTTCTTTTTCTTGGTGCATTCCAATGCATTTGTTTGGTATTTAATAATAACAATGTCAATATGTCTTTCTTTGTTATCTTATATAATCGGAATGAGATTATAAGTAACTAATAATAGCTTGTTGATACATACTTTCTCTCTTACTATCTGATTCTGCGTAGTTCTTTTGTTGGATGCATATATACACATAAATAGTTTTAATAAATTTAATATTGCATCTTCTTCGTACTGCTATCTTGTATCATGTTCTTCGGCAAAAAAGAAGACAATAATATTCACAAAGATGAAAATGGTCGAGTCCATGTTGAGATCAAGAACATATTTGATGCGCACCAAAAACAATTTCATTTGAATTGGCGAGATGTTGCTGTGACGATGTTACTACTAATTGTTGGCTGTGCGTTGATCTATCTGTTCGTTCGATATTCATTGAAGAAGAAATGGAAACAATTCCAGTTGCTCCGATCGTTAGTACAACATTTCGTTCAACAGCAGCAACATGTGGCTGAACAACAGCAAGTATATACTGTTTCAAATGATCATTTACGAATTCCAATGATGCAAACGCGCGACGAAGGATTGATTTCATCTGTCCGTCGCCCTCCATAATCGTTGTTTAGTTCTCATGTAAGTGTTTGCGCGACGGTACAGTAACGTCTGTTCAGTAATTCAAGATCATTCCATATTTTGATAGAAGTGGTGTCAACGATTAGTTTGCAAATTTGTTTCGGAAAGCTGGAATTAGAGTTGAATACATAACTCGTGTTGTATTACAGGCTTAACTCCACAGTATGCAGTTCACATATCAGTCTGCCGTCCTAATTTATTTGCCGTTACTTATTGATATTTTCCATATCATCTCCTCAAGCGTCCATTACTTCTTTCTCTCTTCTTCTTTATCATTTTTTCATTTCTTACAGATCAATGCTTATTTTGTTGTTTTTTCTTTCGTCATTAGGTATGCTTAAAAGTGTGATAAATAATGGAAAATATCTTCTGTATCCACTTCTATTTTATCTTTTGTTCACTTGATATTGTTATTTAAACACTGGAATTTATTACTTTTTATGTTGCTTACAATGGGCGCTCTGCGTCCGATAGCACAATACGATTTACTTATGTTCTTTTCTTATTTATCAATAAAAAGTTTATACAAAAAAAAAGAAAACTGAAGGCCAAAATTCACGAGTTCGTTTGGTTTCAAACAATTTTTCAAGTGCATTTTTATGACTGAAAATAAGGAAACAAAGATTCACTATAAATTCTAATTTTTACAAGAATCTGTGCTGTTTCCCTCGGCTATTTGTATGCAAGAAAAATCTTTGTTTTCTTATCTTCAGTCGAAGATATAAAAATGCAGTTGAAAAATTGTTTGAAATTGAGGAAATGCCGCTTGCTCCCAAACTTTTATAGGTTTTCTTTTTATATACTGACATAAAGTTGAATGTTTTACGACGTACACTGAAAACTTGATTTATAATACAAAATCTTATCATTATCATAATCAGCTAAATACAAGTCATAATTATCCCACAACAGAATAGCTCCCAAAGTCGTACCAACAGCCCATGATGCCAGCAACGTTGAATCCATCGCATCATACATTCTTACACCATAACCATAAAACTACAACCCACATTCTGCCACAACTATCCCACGTCACTTGGGCCGGTATCAAGCCCGACGTCGACGTATTTGTCGCTGGTAGGGGTTCAACTGTCCAACTTTTATTATTAAACGAAATTTGATAGACAGATGTACCACCAGTCCAAGCATTTTGACTACGACATGACTCAGAGGTTCGACAAAAATGTAAATATGCTAACTTTGCATTTATTTATAGTTATTGTAGCACTACAGTGTAGAGGAGTTCTGCTAAAATTCTATTGGTCGAGTGAGTAGTAAAAATGGTTCACAGTATTGAACGACAGATGTATTGTCGGCTTGTCACCAAATGACTATATCTGGGGCCGTGTGCATCCAAAGAGTAGTTGATAATGTTGGCCACGATGAGATGCGCCAGAGTTGCACACCTCGAGTCCATGAATGCCACACGGCTCTTCTTTTTCGTTGTCTCTTGAGTTACCTTGTCGACCATCGGGAGTTACCCCCCCTACTTTTTTAAAAAATTTGATCAAATTTACTCCCAATTTGTGAAAAAAATATGAACGATTTACTCCCAAATTTGGGAAAAGATAAGAACGATTTACTCTCATTTCAGAGAAACTTGAAGAGTGATTTACTCCGATTTTGAACAAAAATCAAGACCCATTTACTCCCGTTTTGGAGGAAGTCATGGGCCCTTTACTCCCAGTTTTGAAGAAACTCGGAGAGGGATTTACTCCGATTTTGAACAAAATCAAGAACGGTTTACTCGTAATTTGAGAAAAGATACGAACGATTTACTCCGAATTTCGGAGAAACCTGAGGGATGATTTACTCTGATTTTGGTTTTTTCGAATACTAAAGTGCTGCTTTCTTCGAAAACCGATATTAAATGTGTTCTTTGAAGAAGCTTTCTTAATCGACTTAGATGACTTATTTCTATTTTTTTCCACCTACGTCTGAGAAAACTACAGTGAATGTAACGTTTAGGCAAACTTAATGAGTGATGCTCATCAATTATTTATACTTCACCATGAGCTCGGAGAGTCCTTACTCCCATTTTTGGATTTACCCCAAGCTGAGCAAGAGGTTTGTAAGAGTTGCGCATGAGTTGCACAAGAACACAAAGAGTTAGGAAGACCACAGGATGACACAAGTGTTACGTAAGAACAGAAAGAGATAGGAAAATTCCGTGATGAAGCAAGAGTTGCCTAAGGATAGTACAAGAGCAGAATCTTATGAGCTGCCGGGACGGCAGGTCATAACAATTGCGTATTAAATTAATCATCTCAGAATTCTTGAAATATCTTGACAAGATCTGCTCAAGATTTATCACAACAGATTCTGATACAAAACTTGTGGAAAATCTGCAGTATTGCCTTCCATTCAGAAACTTGATAAATTCGATAAATCTGCACAAGTTCTTAAAAGATCTGGATCGAAACTTGAGAAATCTTTAAAGATTTAGCAAGATCTGCATTCAGGATTTTCCTTCTGGGTGGTGACCAAAACCGGGTCGGTATCAATGAAGAAGAAGAAATCAAAATATATGGCTAAATTTCATCTATGATTTTATTAATCTATTTAGCAATAATGATATTTGAAATTGGATTGTCGAGGTCTAAATCGTTTTCGCTTCATGATTTTGTTGTATACTGCTATATGCCTACATATTGTAAATATGGACTTCCATGGATTTTCTATTCGAACGATGACTGTTAGAAATATGAAGTATATGACCAAGATGAGGAATACGATGAAAGTTCAGAATGTGAGGAACCTAAAGAATTTTCAACGGTTATTTTTAAATTTCTATGTGTACTAGCATCACTAAAGCGACGAGAGTTAGTTTTCAGTCCATATCTCATATATAGAAAAAGCTCTGCAAAAATTTCTAGACTGTACAGATGACTCATGTTTTTGCTGGGCTTTTCTATCAAAAGCTTTTCTGACACGTGTAAATGTATTTATTATTTAACTGTTCTTTTGAAGATATACATAGGCGCCCTGTCGACCATCGTCTCTCTCTTGGATCTCATTCAGGTAGGATCTCGTACCTTTCGTATCACGATCAAATTTCTAGTTGTCGTTGGTTTTTCTTAATAAAAGTATCCTGAAAGTCTCTGCAGGTTCCCGGGATGGAATAAACAACGTACATGAGATGTACAAGTCTTTTCTCAGCAGCGAAATATCTTAAATTAAACTTTATTCTCTGAAAGTCCAAGCGTGAATGTTTTCTTCACATGCAGCAAGCGTTACCTTATTGGTAAGGTCCACGTTAGAATCATAAGACATCAACCTCTCTCACCTTGATTCCATTTTGCGAAGTCGCATAAAATATGTTCCGTGCAGTAAACTAGAGGCATCAGTTGTTCCATTTATTATCATTTGGAACCATTATGAGGAGTTTTGCCTTTTAGCCTCGTTAGGAGCTGTCCTGCCTAGGTTCCCAGGTCGACTGTCACGCTGAATTCGCGGCGCGACTCTCGGTGAAAAGGGCGCGAAAGTTCCTCATTTTGATTCCAGACTTTGAATGATAAGGCACAGAAAACTTCATCCGAGATGAGAATTTCTTTCACTAAAGTTATCACAACTCACTATTAACTTTTTAGAAATAGAGTAAAGCCATGGGCACGGGCGTCGTCTCGCGCGTGGTAAAAATAGTTCACCATCGCAGCAGAAATACGCTGCAAGGATTTAAAGGAGGGACTAGATCTTCGAAATTACTGTGTACTCACTTTGAATCCGTATAAGTTCTTCTGTAAAAGTGTCTTTTACCATTTTAGATAGATATTGTGGAGTACTGAATGTATCGTAGGATCGATGTAAACTTCAAAAAGTGATCGCATCATGTTCTGGAAGAAAAGTCCGAGTAAAACATGATGCAACGGTAGCCAGAGAGGTAATAATATCAGAAACTCGTTCTAAATTTTTTATGAAAGAAAAATATACTTGATAACGTTTGGTCCAGTTATAACAACGAATGGATTCACAATCTTACGCTTCACTTTAGCTTAGTAGTTATGTTCTTAGGTAACGAAAAATGGCATTAATTCGTATAATAGTCGATTAAAAATTAGCTGTTTTCCCAAATTTGTGGTTCGTTCAGTTAAGAACAACTGATGCCTCTAGTTTACTGCACGGAACATATTTTATGCGCCTTCGCAAAATCACTCAAGTTTAAAATCAAAACTACTGTCATAGCAGCATATTTCCGATGTTAAAATGGTTTTTACAATTCTACAAAAATATTACACATTTTCAATAGCGAAAACATGTAAAAAGATGAACAGTTTTCTTATCTTTTTTTTGATGTGATGTGTGTTTTCTTCAGTTCTGTATTACTCATGTCAAAATGAAAAAGATGGGCGAAATCTACTTCTTACAACAAAGATAAGAAATTGAAATTTTTGAAAGAGGAAACATACGTTGGTTCACTGGTCCAATGCTCTCCATTACTGAGCTACTGACACACAACAGTCTGTGCGAAAGTGAAAATTTTTCACTAAGAGACGATTTAATAGGTTTTAGGACATAATGCCCTAAGAATAATCGAAAAACATCATCATCCAGATTTTCTATACCAATAAAATGAAAATAAACCATTTTACACACCAAAGTGTTTTCATTTTATTCAATTTGCCATAAAATGATCTCGTACTTTCGAATGTACAGCAAGACATAACGAGACCAGCTTTTTATCACGGTGTTTAGATTTACTTTTGATAAATGATCTAAATCTCTTATAGGCCAAAATGTACCTGAACCATATCGATCTAAAGACGTTTCGAATTTATTTTGCATTCATATTCTGATGATGAGTGATTTCGTTGAACGTGGAGACCTTTTTTCAAAGATCGAGCGAAAAATAAGTAAACGCTCGAATATTTCCGTCTCACAACCTAATCGATGGTACTTTGTAATCTTAAAAAAGTGGGTTTGCAAACTACCACCTTGTCGCTTCGTCGGATCTGGCAAACGGAGTTTGAGAAACTGATGAAGAGCTCTGTCAGCTAGTGTCACGAAAAAGAAAGATATTCTCGGAATAGCAACGAATCTGAAGTTTCCAGTTAGGAGTGACACTTTACTAGTTACTCGGCGTTATTTTATTAGGTAAAGTAACAAACTTAGTTACTCGTTACAGATAGAATTTTCGGTATGGTTGAAGAAAGGTACAAAGTGGGATCGATCAGCTTTTAACAGAGAAACATTTAGCACATTTCTCAGGAGACTGAATTATTTCTAATGTCCAATTCTAAGCGGTGTTTTCAAAGATTTTCTTTCACATCCGGAATCACATACAGAAACTTAATCTAGAAAAAAGTAGAATAGTTATTCTGTAGGAAACATGCTCATGCATCTAACAGGGTTCTTATACAAGTATTTCGGGTAGTGAAGATCTTTGTTGTTAGTTCTGAAATGTAACCCTAGTTTTGTTCTCATTTTTTTTTACAATTACTTTCATTTTCTCAAACGCAGTTTCAAACAAAACTTATTTCATTTTTTCTTACGATAAATCTCTTCTCTCCTTCTATTCGATCGACAAAACACTGATTATTTATTCAAGAATAGAAACGTCAGTTGGTCATCAAGGCATCAAATCCCACACATATAGTTCTGCAAATAAATATACACTTTCGATATTCTTCGGTATTTAACGATTCTCTTTTATAAATAAGACACTTAATTCCGCACAACATAATTTTTATATATACATGTAATGTACCATGCCTTCTCTCTTCTCTCTCTTTTTCTATTATCGCCCAGATTAAGTTATAGTTCACAGATAGAGATGGGTTTTGGTTTGGTAAGAGGTGTATTTGTTCATTAGAGTTTTGTATAGTAAATGATAGTATACTAGCATCCTTATACTGGTGCACAATATTTTACTTAATATTCTGTCAATCATTTACATTTGTCAGTTTCTGCATAGCTGCACGTTTTTAAGTCTAAATATTCCTGACTTTCACTAATTCTCCAATACATCGTATAAAAATATCATTATTCCATGTACAACTTTCTTTTAAGTTTCATCAATCTGAACGATGCATTCAGTAATATTAGTATTATGTATTGCATTCTTAATTGGTTTACACGCCAAAACAGTCGTTGATTTAGAAGCAAATGGAAATGTGAAACATCCAGGTAAGAGAACTAGCCTAGAGAACGTACTTAATTACTTCTGTTTGACCAAAAAACTAAAAGGTACTTTTTTATAAAGAGTCGAAGAGGTTTCTAACTTTGGCAAAAACCAGAAGGGTTTTTTCTAAACGCATTTGGTTTAGGGAAACATCGTTCTTGGCTTTGCAAGCAGCAAAGGATCTTCCAGTTTGAGCCAAAATTGAAAAGGATCTTTTAAAAAGAGTTAATCGAACACTTTATATTTCGAAATCCAACAAACAATTTATTTTAATGTCGGTGAACTTTTATGCAGCGATTTCTATATAAAGAAAGAGTGAAAAGAAAAACCTTCGATACGAGATCTCTCAAAATAAAGTGCCTCTTAAGGTAATTGACATACTGCTTTCACCTGATTTTCGATTACAGTTGTAACTGAAGGCTCCTATTTTAAATAAAAGTTTTAAAACAATGTTTGTTCTGTTCCATTATTTTTTTTGTACACCACATTATACTTATTTAATAAAGCTTATATTAAAGTTAAAAAGCAGATTTAACCTAAAAGCAGGGTTTACATCACACGTTCTCTGGGGTATACATCCCAATAATCAGATGTTGTTCAGTCTCGGAAAATCATGTATTTTAGGGCAATGTCCACCGCATTTGATGCAATGTGCTGTTTTTTGTCCCCCTGATGGTAATTTTGGACAAACAGGCTGCAAATATAATGATGGAAACTGTCTTCGTCATCAAAAATGTTGTCGACCAGCATGTGGATGTTCTCCACAATGTGTCAATGCAACAAAAATTAAACCACCAACAATCAATGTCGATTAACCTCGTAGAAAACATATAATGATATAGAGCAACTCTGTATCTTTTAACTATTTGCTTTTCAAAAAAATATGATTTTGACTGAATTATGAATTTTTTAATTTTTGATGAAAATAGCCCAAAATGGGTTATTTCATCTAGTACAGGTTTTCACCCCATTCTTGCAGACTTGAAGATCTACAGACTTGCGTGGTGTCGTGCGCTACTTTCATAATTTGATAATTCTTCATTACTGTCCACTAAACTCACGAGGGAAGGCCACCAAGTGTTCTCTCGCTTTTGAGCTGAGACTCAGTTGACCCTTGTGGTAATGAGAATATAAAATACAGAACTGCTGTAAACATCTGTTTTATTTAAAATTAGAGACTCTATCAATTTAAATAAAAATAGTTGCAAGACTTTGCGTTTTTGTGACAGCGGTTAATGCTCTTTCAAAACACATTATGCAGAAATGCGTCTTTATAGTGGAGAGTATTCACACAAGAATGAGAAGAAAAAGTTGAAATATACGTTTCTACGATGTTGTGTCAAAAAGTGTCATAGAAAATACGATACAGCTGGAAAATGGCATTAAAGCGA